CCCCCCCCCCCCACTTCTCCTCCCTCTCCCATGTACAAGCAAGAACAGATGGGTCTTCCCCTAAGAGTCTTATCAACACTTCATGAGAGAGGATGAAACTTGTATTCTGATGAACAGAGATCTGATTTGATGCGTTATGTAACTTTACCCACAGCAGGCTTGATTTCAAAGGATTTATGTTCTTTTGCATAACTGTACTTGTCTGGGTCATATTAGATGGGTGGCTGTCAGCTGGGGTGCTGTAGGTGTCCCAAATGACTAGCAGGTGTGTGCCCTCCTGCCTGCATTGGGGTACTCTGATAACCCCAAAGCAGGCAGGAGAGCTGGCTGGTGCTACGGTGATTCCTGGTCTGCCCCCTCCCCCCATGCTTATCCCAGAGGTATGGGGAACAGTTCCACCTGTTCTATGTGCCTATTCCTGGGAGATGCCCTGCAGGCCCAGATTGGAGCCAGCTGGTGCTGCAGTCCTTCCTCCTGCCTGCTTTGGGCATATCAGAGAACCCTAATGGCAACAGGAAGCACCTGCTGCAGCCTTCCTGGCAGTGTGGCAGGCATACCTAGTTGTGGTGGCAGCACCAGCACCCAGGCTGAGAGCCATCTAGTTGAGGCAGTGGATTTCAGTCCAGAGGAGCCATGCGGTGTAACTGGAGGAGATTCGTACAAAATCTCATTCATTACAGGGCATATTAAACAAATTCTGTATTAAATCTCCAGGCAGATACAGTTAGCTCACTGTTTAAACAAGCAGAGCTATAGACACAGTATCCCAGATTTACTAAGGTCTAGTGTGGGGTTTTTTAACCTGATCAAAGTCACTAGCAGTTCTAAAAAAAAATAAGACTGCACAGAATGTCTGCTTTTAACTCTTATATGCTGCTCTGTTCCAGCTCATTAAAAATCGTAAGTCCTAGTTGGAGAGAAGGATCTTGAATGGTTGCAAACCAGCAGAGAGAATACTTTTGGTTTAAGGCTGGCTGATTTAAAGATATTTTGGTCAGTCAGGTTCACCTCCCCCTTTCTATGTCTCGGTGCACTTTCTATAGGAATCGCACAGAGTATATTGCAGTAGTTCAGCAATTTTCTGCTAGGGGTGCTGCCACATTCAAAAAAAAAAAGTTGTGGAGGGTGTGGCTGGACTCCAAAAAGGTTGAGAACTGCTGCATTAGATATTAGAGGTTGGACTTCCCTGCATAACGATACCAACAAGGTCAGACTTTACCCTTACTGTTTTGTCCAGAGAAGAAATGGCATCCCCAAGTGTGAAGGCCTTCCTCCTTCTAATGGCAGGCAGATTTCCTCTTAGCATGTTTTTCAGTAATTCACTGAACAGGGTGGAATAGCATAGGGGTGGGAAGAGAAGGTGCCTAAATTCCCTGGAATGTCAGATCCTGAAGCTAGCCATAGTTAGTTCTGCCCTTTGCACATGGCACAATGGACAAAGAGGGGGTAGGGGATGGTGGGGGGGTTGCCTTTTTTTGTTTTGTTTTTTGTCATCTCTGCCTGGGAGCTTAAAATCCCCATTTCTCTTATGAAAAGTAGGGCTTTGTCCTGGTGCTGTCACTGAATTTTGTGTTGTGTGCTCTATTTTAAATGGTTGCACCTGCCTCTTCAGAGGTGGCAGTGCCTTAGTGATGCTGCTCTGTATTCTCTTAGCATGGATTGTGCATGGGAATTTGAGAAACTGCAGAAATAGGCATCTTGTGACACAGTTGCTTTATGAGCACTCTTCATAATGTGCTTTCGGCAGATTCTGCTGGGGCAGCGTGCAGCACCTAATGTCACGCTTGGCACTTAATTTGTGATTGAAACGCTTTGTCCCCTGCCTGCTTGCTCTCCCCAGAATAAGTGGGCAGGGAGATGGCCCCTCTCTTATGGAATTAAGGATTCTCCTCAGCTTTGAATTCCTGAGCCTTAGATGCAATCCTCCTATTAATATAAAACCCTTGACTGTGTGCATGCCTCTTTTACCTGCATGATGGCTGTGGGGAGAGAGTAAGGAAGGAGATGTAACAAGGCTTCCCCAGGGTTTCAACTGACCATTAGGATGTCTCCATTCAGCAGTATTTTAATACTCCTAGCCATCCGCTGATGACGGGGTCTCCCATGCGGCAGAAGGTTGCATGCCATCTGCCTTGGCTTGGATGAACTGTGGCTCCAAGTACAATTTTGATTTCTGGTTTAAATGGAATGGGAAGATTGCACTGCTAATCCCACCCCTAAACTAAAATCCTAGTGTCTGATTGTGGCTACTTGCTATCATGAAACTTAATCATGGGCACTGGGAAGGTCAAAAGGATGCGTATCCGGAGCCCTTTGCCTTTAGACGATCAGATTAAAAATGGCCTCCGATTCTCGTACTTGAAAACCAAGTTTACGTGTTTTGTCCAGTTGCCTGTGTAAGCTGATATGGTCAATCATCTTCTGATCAATCTTGGAAGGTGACCTTATCGGTCAAAATGATGCCACCAGTTTTGGTAGAGGACCCAAAAGCTGAAGGACCAAAGCAGTTGAACTACTGTCTTGCCCCTTGAGGATGCTGCAATGCAGTGTTTCGACACCTAGGGTAGCTTAAACTGATGCTGCCTGTTCTGTACTTTATTTTGGGGGAAAAAAAGGAATGAAGCTTTCAAGCTCATCAGTCTGGCATTTTTCCAGTACTAAATTCTCTTAAAAACAGAGGCCCAGTCGGTCAGTAATGAAGGGCACAAAGTATACTGCCTTTCAGATGTTAATGGCACCTCAGTGGTACAGACTTTTAAGTGTGCTGCAAACTTGTATTCAGAAGCAACTAGAAACTTTTTTGAATTTGCCTTTCACCCTGAACAAGCTGTTCAGCAGCTTTTGGTACCAAGTTGTAAATACTTCAGAGAAGTAGAGGATATTGAATTTTGAAGTACTTGGTTTGTGCTATGCTAACTTTATCAAAAGAGACCATTTGTGGGAGGGCGCTTTGTTTATTCTGTGTGTAGCTGTTAACAGATATTCTCACTAAAGGTTTTTTGTTTGTTTTTCCTAATAGGAAGGAGTTCTTTGAGGGCTGCAAAGCAATAAATGCGGACAGCATCGATGGCATTTGTGCTAGGTTCCCCAGCCTCTTAAATGAAGCCAAACAAGAAGATAAATTCAAGGATCTCTATCGTTTCACCTTTCAGTTTGGCCTGGACTCTGAAGAAGGACAGAGGTCGTTACATCGGGAAATAGCCATTGCCCTTTGGAAGTTAGTTTTCACACAGAATAAACCCCCTATATTGGACCAGTGGCTAAACTTCCTAATTGAGAACCCCTCAGGAATCAAGGGAATCTCCCGGGACACATGGAACATGTTTCTAAATTTTACTCAGGTGATTGGACCAGATCTTAGCAACTACAGTGAAGATGAGGCCTGGCCTAGCCTCTTTGACACCTTTGTGGAGTGGGAAATGGAACGACGGAAAAAGGAAGAGGAAACCAAATGTATTACATCTTCAGACACGGAGGGTCTGTGTCCAGAAGAACAGACTTAACAGCATTTGTGCAGCAGTGACACAACCAACCTGTTGCCCTTTTGTTTAGTGTAAACTCTGGACCTTTCTGGAAATTACTGAGGCTCCAGATTTTTCTACTTTACACCTTTCTCTGCCTTGTATTCGAAAGGGCTCTAAAATGCTGTATCATGTTTTAGGCACTTTCTTAATTTGGGTTATTCCTTTTACTCTTGTCCTGAAATATTTGACCCTGGCTACAAGTTAAACAGTTGTGGGGGTTGTTTTTTGTTTTGTGTTTTTTTTTGTTTGTTTGTTTGTTTTAAGCTTTCAGATTAGTAAATTGTCTGACATTTCTTGCACAATGTAGATCTTTTTGTTAGGTTAAATTAACATTGCTAAATTATACAGTGCCAGATTTTCAGTTTTGCGTACTACATCTATCAGGGCAGGTCTGTACTGTGTGTAGTGCTGTTTACATTGTTGAAATTTTAGGCTGTAATAATAATTTTGAAGTTTTATACCAGGATGAATAGCAGTGTTAACTGTTGACTACAAATGCATTAATTCCAGATAATGGGGCTCGAAAAACAATGTAAGCAACAGCTTTTTGTAATACAGCTGACTCCCATTTTAAGCTAACTCTCAGTAAAATGAGTCCAGGTCATTCCCCTTTTTGGTGAGTATTTAACTAAAGCTTTGCCTTTTGTTTATTAAACTATATTGTACTTGTCAGCCAACCGAGTGCAAAATAACACTTTATATCCGAAATCATTAATGTGCCGCACACAACAGAGCAGCACTACCTCAGTTTTATTGGAAGTAGGTGTTCTTTATGGACTTTGATTTCTTTTGAAGTTGCATTTTCTTGGCTACATGAAAATACCTTTATTTGACTAGAAGAGCCAAAGGTTCTGCTTCTTAACATTGGAAAACATTAACAAATGCATAATATTGCCTCCAAGGAAAACTGTGGTATAACTGCTTTAACTTGTTTGACTTGTACTGAAAAGTATTATCGGCTTACTTGCCTGGCAAGTGCAGTATGCCTGCACAGGAACCACCTCTGCATTAATGCTGAGAAACCATTTTTTTAAACCTATATTTAATTGCTAAACCATTGCTAGTGCTCCATATTCACTGGAGCAAAACCATTGGCACCTGATGACACAGTGAATTCCTTAATGTGTTTTTAATGACAGCAGTGTAGGCAAGTCATTTTTAGGTTGATTTAATAATGTTTAAATAGGACTCAGTTTATTATTTTAAATGACCTGTATTGGGATTATTTACCTGTTGAAACTGTTGTGATCTGAAAAGGGAGTTTTATTAACACTGGTTGAAATGTTTTTTTGGGGCGTTTTTTTAGTTATTGACGCTACCTTTTTTTAAATTTTAGTATATCAGGTTTTTTAACACTTTTTGTAAAAGGGATAATAGCTAAGGTTTCTCTCAAGCTAAACATTGGCGCCATGTATATTTGATACACTTCCATTATTTATCTATCTTTCAGACTAGCATTTCTGGGTCATAAAATGGCTTCAATTAAAAAAACAAAACAAAACCAAAAAAAAAACAACAACAACAAAAAAACCAAAACAAAAAACCCCCAAACAAACTCACCCCAAACAAGCCGTGATCAATTAGTCCATATTATGTAGCTGCTTCTGCTGTAGGATTTTTAAAGATAAATCCAAGTGAAGTCTTGCCACTGGCTCTGCTAACATGCAGTCCAACGCACATGCAGAGCTTCAAGGGCTCCCTGCAGGTGTCCCACTCACAGGGCCCTGGCATAATACTGGGGTGCCTGCAAGGGGATCTCAGCATTGGATCTCTGGTTTAAGATCCTAGTTGCTAAACAGACCTGAGAAGCTAAAACAGTCTTCAAAAAAAACAGACAAGCTCAGACTTAATCTTTTTCATCCACTGTTATGAGGGTTCAGTGCTTTTAGAAGTGACTGTTAGGAATGTGTGAAGCTGTCAGGGAAACAAGTGTAGATCCTGTTTCAGGTGCAACTGAGGTCATCAACTTTCAGAAGAATTGCTGAGGCCTGAATTTGGTTTTTGGTAGGTAAATACACCCTGAAACTTTACCTGCACTTGTATGTAGCTGTACCAGCTAATCCTCCTAATGAAGACAGTTATACCAGCCAGTATAGTTTAGCCTGGTTGGGTCAGCAAAATTGAGCAAAAACTCTCTTGCAAAAAACTGGTTGGGCTTTTGCTGGCACAGTTAAGATGCATCATACCCCAACAAACCCTGCTCTGCTGCCAAAATTTCTGCATGTCTGGTTTGAGAGCAAACGTGGAGGCTTGCTTTGTAAGTTTAAGGCTACACATGCATTCTGTTAGGGATTGTGTCTTGTCTAGTTTATTTGATCACGTCACTTCCTCCTAGGAGAACTCAGATTCCCAGTGTGAAGACAGGCTGCTTAGTGTGTACTGCCTGCATGTACACACACAATACTGCAGTGGATCCAGAAGTTCATTGCCATGAAACTCAAGTGCATTTTAAGAAAACTGCATTTATCTTGTGGTCTGGCCTGACTGTAGATTAGGACAAGGACCCAAATGTATAGTACACCAATGCCTGGCCATTCGGCACTTCATGTGGAATATGGGGTTGTTTGCCAAGGTAGAGCACTAGGGGCAGCTCCACAGAAGGGGAGAAATTTCCTTTTTTTTACAGTGGGATGGAGTGCAAATCTGGGTGGCTTGGCTCCTATGCTGTCCTAGCAAAATGAAGGCTTTGATCTGTCTGAGAGCCACCTAGCAGGAATCAGTTTGGGAGTAAAAAGCTTCTAACACTAGCTGAGTGGATTTATCCAGAAAGGAGCTGTCATTTAAAGTTGAGATTAAAATTCATCTTTTAGGTTGACAAGAGACGCAAAACACGGTCAGGGCTGTCACTTTAAAATTGATATGGGCCAGGAATGACAGAGCTAAGTGTAATGATCTGTTCTTGGGGTTGTGCAGCACTTACACAGTGGCATGCAGGAGGCAGTGACAGTACTTGCTCTGGATTGTCTAAACATCCAAACTAACTTGCTTTTTAATGTCACTTTATCACCCATGGGATTGGGGTTCTGTACATGTTTCTGGGAACCATTCGTTAACATTGGAGCCTTGGAGGTCTGCTTGTTTAATGGTTGAACTGTGAATTTCTGTGGAATAGGCCAAATATTCACACTTTTTCATTTTTATATCTATTTTAATCTTGAAAGTGTAGAGGGGGTTATATGTGGGCATGATGCTGATCAACTTTTCAAAACCATTAGAATTATTTTTGTGTTACTCATTTGGAAAAAAACAACAGATAAAACTTGATGCATGAAATGAAACTGCTGCGTCTTGGGGTAAGTAGCTGTAGATATGCATTTTGACAGTTTTAGTAATATACTGGAAAACTGGTCTGAGATCCAAGCTCTGTGGCATTTTATTGCCTTCCCTTTCACACTTGATATGATTTGTGTGGACTTCAGTGCCCCAATCCTGATCAATAAATACTTGAGTTTGCACAGCTTCCCAGTAGTGTGGTTCACAACACCTTTTGAATTCAACATCCCAAATCTGTTGAGACCTGACCCTGCAGCTCCTTTGACTTTTTGGCAATACTCGCATGAGCAAAAATGCATGTAAGGATCGGCAGGATCAAGGCCATAGAATTGCAGTCAGGACCATGGGAATGTATTCAAGGAGACTGTGTTGTATTTTGTGAATATTTATTGCTAGTGGTGTTCTAAATGGGGTATTTAAAATGGCACCATTGTAACACAATAACCAGAGGAAAATGGAAAACTTAAGCCTCTGTTAGATCACTAGAAACAGTAACTTGTCAAACCTGAATTTTCCAAAATGTCTACAAACCAGGAGTGTTGTCCTTGGTATTGATAGAATACTGTCAATATGAATATTCAATTTCTATAATATAAAATCTCTAACCTTTATTTACAAGCAAATATGCAACAAAGTCCAACAAGGAAAATGCTGTCTTGGTATTTAAAACTGCTTCACCTTTGACATCATGTTTGTCCACTGAAACAGTGTTTCCTTTTCATAGGCACTGACGGCCTTTTCCACTTCTAGGTCTTGCAGCCTTGTGTCCTACAGCATGGTGTCACAACAGTGCTTTGAAATGGGCATGTGAAAGTAGCCCTTTATGCTAAAAATGAACTTCTGGTGCTACATCCATCAGAATTCTTCATTTTACTGTTCCTCTAAGATTTATTTATTGAAAAATAACTTGTGTAAATGCTGGATATCTGTTGAAGTTAACTGTTGATTTAATGTCTGAGCCTCTGGATCCAGACGGTCACTGCAATGTAAATAATTCACCAGACTCTAAGACAGAAGGCTGTAACTCAATTTACCTTGTAGTACGTGGGCACTCATTAGATATACTGACCAGTTACTGTTCTTCTAGGATTCTGTCTGCATAACTACTGCATCATTATATTGACATAAGTTTGATGCTATCTGTTTCTTAAGTTCACTGCCATATTTGGTATACTGCTAGTAGTCTGTATGTGACGGACCATTCCCAGGAATTAAAAAAACAACAAAAAAGTCCAGCTGCTGGACAAATTAAGGACACTCCAGGTGCTTTGTTCCAGAAAGTAAGTGTGTGATTTGAGCTACTGTGTGGTAAAAGGCTTTTGCATTAGTGTGGCTCTTCCCTGTTGCAGCTATCCTCATGCGGAGGATAGTGAAAAGCCATTTCCTAAGAGTGAACTGTAGACCTTTTTCAGTCTATTCCTTAGGAAATTATAATCTACAACACCATGAGGTAGCATTTCTTCAGAGGAAAAAAATTACTCTGGTTCCATGTTAGGCTGCAAGTGCAGCATTTTTTGTAGCTCTGTTTAATTTAGCTTAAAAAAAATCTATGTCCATCCTCCATGTCTTCCCAAGACCAATGCCTTGTTCAACACACAGATTTATATTTTGAGCAAAGCTGAAAAACTGGCCTCATGCCATCTTCAGGAAGCTAACTCCTTGGTTTGGCAGATAATGCACTTGGCAGTCATTTTCACAGGCCACAAGTACCTGCTTCCGTGCTCCAAACCAATGTACATTTGATGCAGGTGTGGTTGTGCAAGACTTTCTCCAAACCAGAGTAGGAATGCCTTCCCTCAAGGGATGTGCAGCTCCTGCTGACCTGAAGCAATAGGCCGTGGGGGCTTGAAAGACTTGTCTTGCAAGCAGCTTGCCTTAAGCAATTGAATTTATAGCAGTTCTTCACTACTGTTGTAATCCTCTGCCTTTCCGGGTGTTTGTTTTTATAGCCTAAACTCTATGGGAGGCTGTACAATGTTTTTTAACTCCTACCTATGCATAATTGCACTCTTTCAAGAAGCCCTCTGAATATTTTCAGGAAACTTTATACACAGATAGAGGAAAAATATCATTCTTCAGTGGTCATGCTCTAACATGAATTTTTACTTAAGCTGTGTTTTATGAGCTAAGTTACCTGCTGTTGAATAAATATGTTTACTTGACTTTGCCATTCATGCAGTTACAGCCGCTGGTTCTTGTATTGCTGTCCTGGGGTTGCTAAAGAGGGCAGGTTGTGCATGACCGGTGACAACCTATATATAATACTAGTAGAGTACGAGGCTGGCTACTGATAGAGCTACATCTTATGCTCTCTCTTCTGAAAGGCTGTTTTAACCACAGATTGTGAAGGGGTGGACTGGAAAGGGCGGGTGCAAATTGAGGCTGTAATCCTGTTTGAGCATCCATCCTAAGAAAGCAATGCAGTTTGCAGGCTTGGGCCCTCCATCTGCATTGTGAGTCCACATTGCTGCTACAGGCCTTCAGACGGATGCATCGCTGTGTATGCGAGGGGGTTCCAAGAACAAGGTCAAGGAAGCAGGTTGGCAGTGAAACAATCTGAGGAAAAGGATAATGGTGTAGTTTGTTCTCAAAACACTTAACATTTAGGTGGATCTGAGCCCAATTTAGTCTTAATTTGCCCAAGATGGGAAGAATACTTTTTATATGGTTTATTTACCTCCAGGGAAATAACTTAAAGCAAATGTAAATTTGTACAGCTTTGGGCAGTCATGTGGCTTTCACCTAAATCACATGCATGCTTCCTGGCTTAACTGAGCTTGGTTCTTTAGTGTGTCTAACTTTAGGTGTTTTACCCCACCTTTGACAACAACCCCTACTACTTCCTGTGTAAGAATCCTGACAACTGCACCTCATTGCTACCCAATGTGCCTGCTGTCTTTCAGATTTGCCTCCCAAGCTGTCCAGTGTCCTGTCTCACAAGGTTTTGCCACTGAGAAAGGATGAGTGTGGCATCTGTCTCCTGTCTGTCTGGAGTCTCACTCTCTTGTAGGCAAAATGCTCTCTGAAGCACTTTGGAAACTGATTTAGGGTGTGTTTTACTTCATTGCGTTTTCTTTTAAGGGTCATGGCCAATTTGATACAGTCAGTTCAGGAAAACTTCCAGGTCCTACACTTGCTAATCTTGAGTCCCTTTGCCAATATGTATGGCTTTACCATTACTTTCTTACTGAATTCTTTTAGCTGTTGTTGCTGTGCAGAAGTCCAACAG